ATCTCTAGGATTTAGAACAAGAAAGTATGCCTTCACACCATTTCGAACAGAATTAATTCTTTGGAGTTCACTTAAGTGCTGCTGTTTATTAAAGAGGAATCTCACTCCCACCCAAAAAATTATTCTTTACGACAATATAAACTCTAATTACTTCAAATTCTTTGTTTGAAGTTTTTCTAGCAAGCAAAATGGATTGTATGTTTTGGAAGTTAGCGAGCTTATCTTGTTCAAGATCTAGTAACATTGCCGCAACGCATCGGCACACGGAACGGTCGCTCAACACAGTCTATTTCGCGAGTATGCAAGATGGAAGATGCGTGATTTACAATTATTATACTTTGCACTAGTATACATCAATCAAAGTAAAGTGATCAATTGCTAATTTTGTTGGTCACAGCCTAAAAGACTCGTAAAGTACTCATGAAAGTCAACTATAGCATCAAATGAAGGACCAAGTGCGACGTGGTTCAATTTTTCTGTTATGGAGAGATCATCGCACTATCCCCTTACCCCTTCTCACTATATCCTCTCCCTCGTCGCACCAAGAGTGGATTCATTACTTGTTGCCAATTGCGTTCTGGCAATTTTTTGTACTTTTGATTTGCTAATCTTTGGTTGGTACTCTATGCCACGTTGCCTCTCACACACGCGACATTCTGGTATTCTTGCGACAAGAAGGGTTGTTGCTGCTGGATTCTACTAGTTTTGCAGATCTACGACCATATCTCTGGCGGATTCGCTCGACAAACGCGTTCTAAACGAATTCTGGAATGCTTTTGGCGCTTTAGTTACTACACTTTTGCCTTTCTTTATGGCTGTGTAGTGCTCTGCAATAAGCCGTGGTTGTGGGATGTGAAGCAGTGTTGGATTGGTTATCCATTCCATGAAGTCGATACTACCGTATGGTCGGTGCAGGTTCTTATTATTCATAAGGGAACTTAATGTCAATTTGTGGTGCTTTTAGGTGGTATTACATGATGGAAACCTCGTTCTATTATTCCCTCCTAATTGCCTCAGTATTTGATGTCAAGCGTTCCGATTTTTGGCAGCTCATTATCCATCACATTGTAACTATAGGACTGCTTTCTAGTAGTTTCTTGATCAATTTCGTTAGGTAAGTGCTCTAATTTTCTAGTGCCGGATAGAACATATGGTAGTGTGCATGTATAAGTTCTACTTAAAGAGTGGGAACCCTCGTACTGATCTCGCATGATGTAGCCGATATCTTGCTGGAGTTCGGCAAGCTTACCCGTTACGATCGCGGTTTGAAACCACTTACAAATATATGTTTTATAGTGTTTTTGACTGGGTAGGACGCTTTCCTACATTTCTGGTAATCTTCGGGCTGGATAAAGGTGCCCAAAAATCACTTCTAGATGGATCATTACTCGGCTTGGCTACTACCCTTTGGTGCTGGTTCGCTCTGCCTTGTTTGAAGCATCTAGACTGATACAGCCCGACTATGATTTGCTAGATCTCACTCAAGTTAGTTCGATGTTTTTTTAGTACTCTTTATCTCTTCAAACTCCTACAATTTTTTTTCAAATAAACAGAACCGCTGTGATCCATTGCTCACTTGATACAAGATTAGTTTCTGTGCAACTACTTTTCATAATTTTCGATGATATTTTTGTTCAGGTTCCATACGCACCACGTGTTATAATCATCATGTTGTTCATTCTCCTCATTCTTCATGTTTTTTGGACTCTTATCATCATGAAAATTGTCATAAAGACTGCCACTCAAGGCGAAGCCGGCGATGTACGGTCGGACTCAGAGTTCTCTGATGAGGATGTAAAAGAAAAACTTGTTAAGGTGTGGCTTCTGATTTCTCTCCTCCTTTTTGGTGAATATTCTTTTTTTT